AAAAGGAAGTCAATGCTTACCCACTGAGCTACTCCACTTCCTATCTGACCAAAATAAAATGAAAATTAGTGTTAATACATTTTAAACTTGTTTATTCACTAAAAACCATTATTTATTTATCGCGACTTAGCTTTGATATGAATTCTTTATTTAGAAAATTAGAACAGATTTGCTTACTATTGTTTTAGAAAATGCAGTTATAAGAAATATCGTTTTTTTTGTTTTCTCTCAGATCAATAGTATTTTAAGTATTTTTGATTTTCCAATTTCTGAATCACCTTTTATTTTACCACCTTTTATTAGTTAACACTAATTGCACAATTCTCCAATTTCACAAAGGAAAAATCAATCAAAATACGTAGTGATTAAATTTTATGGAATGTCACTTAATAACTTTTTGTTATAAACCTACAAAATCTTTAATGTGAATTTTGTTTTATTTTTTCACTGACTGGCTTAACAGACCTATTGGTTTCTCATTTGTTGTTTTAATCTAATAATATTTATATTAAATAATATTTAATATAATTATAGTATCTTTGTTAGTTATACAATGTAATATAATTGTCTATTTTGTATGTAATAAGGTAATATTATGGCATTATTATATTAGGTACAATTCTAGAAAGAAAATTCTAAAACTAGAAAGAGCCAATGAAAAGTTTTGATTGGTGTGAAGAATAAAAAAATATACAAAGAAGAAATATATTTTCCATCAAATGGAAGACTTCAATCAACAACCATAAATGAAATTTGCTCGTTAACTTTGAGGCTATTAATAATAATATGATCATTGGTAGTGCCATCTTCTCCCATAAGCTCATACATATGGGAACATGGATCTCAGATGGTAACACCATAAATAGACTGCATTCTGGTGGACAGAAGGCACCTTGCCTCTCTAAATGATGTCTACATCGTGGGTCAAACATTGGTTTGGATCACTATTTGAGTATCGCCTACATTCTGGCTCAAATCAATATTTTGAAGCTCAGGAGGGAACCAAGAAAGAGATTTAACAGAAGTAAGTTACTGGACGCACTAGCGGATCCAGGATTTAATTTTGGGGAGGGGTTTCAGCTCGAAAGATTTTTTTTCATGAAAATAACGATAATTACTTTGGAAAAAAAGAAAGAAACTAACTACTTATATGAAATGGTGTTTAAGTGATTCCTAAAGCCCTTTTAAATGTAATTGCACGAACAATAATACTGAAAGCCCTCCCTTCCCCCGCGTAGATCTGCCCGTGACTGGAGGGAAAAGATATAAGGAGGAACTTGACCAGAAACTGGCTACATCAAGACAAGAAGAAATGGATATAAATAGTGGAAGGAGAATGATCCAGGGAGCAGTGGTCAAGGCTGCTCAAAAAGTTCTAGGCCCATCAGAAAAGGAACCAAGGTCACCTTGGTTTGATAAAAAGTGTTCATCAAGTCACCGAGAGTTGGAGCATTGCCCATTGTAGCGTGCCTAGCGATGCCAGTTCGAATCCGACCTGGGAAGAGTTGACTTTTATTTTATAGGGGACCAACGGAATGGAACTTGACCTTCCCACTCTGGTTAGAATACATTTGGTTGTACCTCTAGAACAGCCATATGTATGCCAGAAATGGTGGTTAGGGAGTAATCCAATTTTTAAAAAAAGTCACTTGCTATAAATCTTGCATATAAAACAATGAATACAAGAAGGATTAGGTGGATGATGGAAGAATACTACAAGAAGAGACAGGAGAAAAAGCGCCTTCATTAGTGATAAAAGAAGGATTAAAAGAAGATAGAACTTGAAGCAGCTGTTAGATTTCCAGCAGATGGAAGTATTAGAAAATTCTATAATTCCATCAACCGACATAGAAATCCGTTCAAGCGCAACCAAAGCAGCTTGCAAAGATTTTCATGACTATATACTTGTAGAGAAAGATGCTTGCATGAATCAATGGAAGAGCCATTTTGCAGCCATTTACAGAGGAAGGTAGGTTGAGTTGCAAAATGAAGATATATCTACCCTACCAGAAGAAATGAAACCACCCAATAATGAAGTTACAACTTTTTTGAATGTGAAGTCAATGAATTCACAAATCTAGGATCCCAAATTACATGTGATTATGATCTGTTGAGGAGGCCTATTCATCTTGACGTGCTGTAGAGTCACACAAAAAAGTAACCATCTTAACTGATGTCCTTTCTTCTTTCCGACAATGGATTTCCATATTTAATACATGATCTGTTGTCCATCTGCCTGTATTTTATTTCTGAATCCAAGGATTCCTAGTTTTTCAACTAAAGAATTTTTTTAGATAGTTTTTGCTTTTGTAATTTTTTCCATAAAAAATTATAGAAAATAATAAATAGGTATAGGTAAATCAATCTTTGGGTGTGATAAGCTGTTATAAATATATTATGAAGCATTTGCAATCATTAGAAAAAACTTGTCTAACATCGTCACATTATGTTGAGATTTGAATTTAAGGCAGTGATATTAAATTTTTCTTTGTAACATTGCAGATTTTGATTGATAACCACAAAGCGTATATAGAATTATGTATTAATGAGGGGAGCTTGAATTTTCTTTTTTCGTAAGATTATTCCTTGTCAATCTTCTGCCAAAGGTTATGGACCCAGAAAAGTTATATCAATTAGATGTATTTCTGAGGGGTTACTTATTCATTTTATAAAATGTTTGCATTATTAATTATTGTCTTCAATTCTCTGAACCTATGTTCCTTGAAGATAGTTATGATAAACAAGTATTTTAACCAAATATATTTTAAGGATTCTTTATCGGAAACCTTATTTCTGTGCAATTTTATTTTTGGATACTCTTCAAAAAAGAATCAGTCATAACAACTTATAGATAATTTGACTCTTCCTCATATTTTGACAACTAAAAGAACCTGCGATCGAAAAACATCTGATATAAAAATTTCTGATCAAGATTGAATACTTCTCAAAAGTTCATATCAATCACTGTCTGAATCATTTTGAGCTGAATATCTTTGCTATTAATATTCTGAAACAATTATATAATTTACAATTTAAAAACTTTGAAATTTCTCTTGAAAAATTTGAGTCATCAGTTTTTCCACAAACAACTGCCAACTATGTATTACAAATTATTCCATGTGGTAAAAAATATGACATATAAATAACAAAAAGAAATAAAATAGATTTTTATTTTTTATAAAAATGTACACCTTCTCTTTCCGTTATAAAATTTAACATGAATTAAGATTATAACCTAAATAATACTGGAAATTATGTATTCTAAGGTATAATTAACAGAACAGATAACTAAAATATTAAATCTAACAAACAAACTAAAATAAAATGTTTGAATATTTCTTGTTTATTTCTTTAAAAAATATTTTTAAATATCAATTTATTAACATTGTCATTAAATATAACAAAGTACACCAAAGTTAGTTCAAATAATATCAATATAGAAACATCACAAAGTATATTTTGCCACATTCAAAGGTCTTCGTGGTTGTCAGATTAGAATGTAAGCAAGCATAAAAATTTAACAAAATAAATTACTTTTTTACAATTTTATTTAAATTTTAGAAATTATATATTGCAGTTTTCATAATCAAAAAAGTGTGAGAATTGTTTGATATTACTAAAACTCAATAATTAGTTTGTTTATATTTGGATACTTTATTTCACAGTAAGTTTTTTAAAATAAAACTCTAAACAGATTATCTGAGCAATCTTTTACATATTTTATAATACTTTGAAGTACTTAAACTTTAAAATTTAAATTTTACTGATATTTTGCTTATAACAAAATATCAGTACTTTATTATGATTTTTTTTTCTAGTATTTTAAAATTGATTTATTGATTCCTATTGAGTTTAAGTTCTATCAAGAATTTGTTTTGTTAAGTACAATTGTAAGTATTTTTACATCAGCATATTTTCAGGTCATTTTAACTATCATAAATTTATCTAATAAATTATATATAAAGGGATTCTTAAAATTAATTCATAAAAGTAAGTAGGTATATCACAGTTGTTACTTTGATTTTAACAGCCTAACTTAATATTTACATCAAATAGATACAAGAATCAAAGTTATAAAATCAACTTGTAAAAATAGTTTTTTTTAATAATGGTCAATATCACCAACACGATAAATAATAATATGGGCGACAAAATGATTATCATTTGTCTTGTAATTATTGTATAAGCAATAAAACTGTTTATTTCATTTCATTGTTTCAAAAAATCTTTTCAATTACTATGGTCAATTCCAAAAGGTATTAGATACCAAATGGTGAAAATACTGGGTATTTGAAACATATAAATGAAAAATAAAATAAAATAATTAAAAATGAATTTTTCTAAAAATGAAAAAAATTGTTATGACAAAAGGTACTTATTTAATACCTTTTGGAACTAAAATCTTTACTAGTTATGATTTTATTAAATTTAAAAGCTTTATCTAATAAAATAAAGTTTTCTTTTTTTATTAACCTTTTGAAATAATGTAATGTAAATATTTTAAAATAAAATTAAATGGCATTTATTAAATTTTTTGTTTTAATAATTAAAAATGTGAAAGGACATATTTTCAATATTAAATTCTGAGACTATGGAATCTATTTTGCATTGAAATTTTTTTTGTCAATAAACATATTAATGTAGAAATATGATAAATATTCTTTTCATAAATCTATTTTTTAAATATTTTTATTATGAGATTTCTATGAAAGATTTGATAACTTATGGGGAAATAATTACTTTTATTTGACAAACTCTCCCAACGCATTTAATAGTGCTCTAATAAATTTGAACAGTACCATTCTACATTGTATTATCAGATTCAAAAAAATATTATTCTACTTACATCTAAAGATCTTCACAGTATACTTTCTATTTAAATATAACTTCTCTTAAATTAAATAAATGTTGCGATGTTATATAAATACCATTTTTACAATTTAATTTAAAATTTATCCTATCACTGTTTACATAAAAACATATTTACATATATATAACAGTTATTGGTATGCATGAATTATTTCAATTATACTAGAGTATGAACCAGATACTAAAGCAAACAAGGCTAATATTGTGATTATAATATTTTTCCACAGCCTCCATCGCATAAAACCAAAACCTTCTTCATAAAGGGTAATAGTTTCTATCACTGCTGGGCAAAAGAGACCTAGGATTGAAAAGCAGACTGATCCAACAAGAGAGATGAATGGGCTCAATTCGGGGATGATTATTGCAATAATAACTGAAAACATTATGTAAGTAATTAATCAATTAATAATAATCATTAAAAAAAATACACAGTACAATTATCAGAAATTAAACTATATTTTGATAGTCTATGCAACTTTCAAGCATTTCAGTGGAGGAGAGAAGAGGATAGATAACATATAATCTTGTATCTTATTTTTAAAAATATATAAAGAGATCTCTAAATTTTTCAACAAAACTTCTTTCAAGTAAAAAATAATCTAGGATTAGTATAAATATCATAGGCAATTTGGATTAGGCAAAATCTGTATTTATGAAAATGTATCAATAATTTAAATAAAAATGTCCTTACTTGTTCCCATTATCATGAGACCTCTCATTATGTAGTAACCCTTCTCTTGATTTTTCTCACTAACTTTTGGTCCAATTCTTTTCCATGCTATTTCTGATGGTACTGTGAACTGCAGTCCATAAGTGAATAGAATAGATAGTGCAACAAGTACTTTTACTACTTCAGCCAAACTAAAATAGAGATATATCTTTAATTATAGTATCAGCCTTCTTTAAAATTAGTAATTAAAGGCCTAGAACATTGCTCTTCAAACTATGCTTACCGGTCTAGCTTGCCGTTGTTTATTTTGATTATATCGTAAAATTTACATAATAAGAACTTAATTCAAAACAATAATCTGATGTTTTTATTTAATACCCAATTAAACGATACGTTAGCTTATTTACATTGCATAATGAAACTGAATATTAATTAATTAATGATGAAAGTATATGAAAATGATGAGATGGAATTATAACTTTTGATCTTTGGAACTAGCTAAAAAGTTTGGAAGCCTATGCCCTAGAGGAAAGTATATAAATGATTAGTTGTTTTTTTCTATTATCAATCTGGTTTCCCATATGAGTTCATTAAATTACACGCTGTCATATTACATTTATTTATTTATATTACCTACTTTGTGACCAAGAAATCATTGGAAATGATTTTTATATAATTAGCTTGTATTAAAAAAAAGAAATAAGAAAATATTACGACCATTTGTTGTATAGTCATATAATTTATAATAATTTGTATATATTATTAAACATATAATTATCAATACAATAATGATGTGATGTGGAAATAATCAGATACCTTAGTTCTCAAACAGATCCAAGAGAAAATTCCTCTGTTTAAATTTTTTTTTTCCTTTTATTTTGAGTTATAACAAATGGTTTTAATTTTAAATCAATTGTTGAAATTTTCTTTATCCTTTCGCAAATTAAGGTTGTTGAAAAATCAAACATTTTTTGATACAATGAATTGTATTTTGTTTTTCCTTTTTTGTTTATTCCCTCAATAATTCCACTATTTATTAGAAGATTTTTATTACTTGATTGGTATTATTTTTTGGTTATTAATCAAATATTGAAGAAAAATACACCAAGTAATTTATTTCAAAAATACATATTTGGTTGATATTTTACAGTATGCATTTACAGTTGCCGTTAGTGCGGTTTAATAAGACAAGTTACATTTTTATCATACATTACATTACCCACTGGTCTGTTTGTTTATTTTCTAAATATGAGTTTTCCTATATTAAACAATTGTTTTCAAACTATTTCTAAGATTTATAAACCTTATTCTAAAACATTGAATAAAATTGGTAGGGTGATCGTATTAGAATCTAAGATATAAGTTATGCCTTCTACTTTGATCAATAGAAGTTCAAACACGAAACATTGTTCCTTCAAGCAAATCATAGTACTGTACTGATGTGGTACTATGCTTACTATTACAATTAGTCGTTCTAAAATTTAAAAAATTGTATAACATCTACAAATTAATTATGGCTTGAAATAATCTGTGAAAAAAATACATTGTTTCTCTGTGATCAATTAAATTTTTAAATAGATAATAATGTCCATTAATTTTATAAATTTTTGATGTATATACAATTATAACAATTGCCTTGCCATGAGTTTGAAAACTAACAACAAATGGCTGCATTCTCATATTTCCTCACTATGTTTAACATTGAACCCTGACCATAACCGTAACTTCTTTGTACAATCTGAGTTTTGCATAAAAATTTTTACTGCTTTGTTAAACACAATATTTCAAAACAATAAGCATGTCAAAATACCGACTGTTTTGCAATGAAGGCAGAATACAGAAACGGATCATTTTAGAATTTTGGATATTAGTTTAAATTAATTCACACTAGAAGTTTGTTTTTTATCCATTAATTTAAACTAAATATGAGGGTAAGAAAACTCACTGTATAACATATTTTTCTCATCATCATTTTTTATTTTTATTCATCATGTCAATAAATTTTTTTTAGAATAAAGAATATATTAGTAGAAAAAGGCTTTTTCAGTCTTAATAAATAAATACTTTATTTCAAATTTATCCAAATTTTCTCCTCTTCAGGCATCTTTAGGGATGATCTGATTTTACATGTAAATTAAATTTTCATCTGAAAAAAACTTATAAAAAATCTTTCACAGGATTTAATATTAGAAATAAATATTACTTTAGAAATAAAGTAATATTTTATCGAGACTGAAAAGGCCTTTTTCTACTAATACTTATTATAGTCTCTTTCCTAAGATCATATTTTATGAATAAAGAATACATTTGATTTTATATTATATCAAATATTAGTGAGGCAATTTATATTGTAAAAATAATGAAAACAACTTACTTCGTTTTGCCGAGATTGAGGGTGATACTACCCTCTGTCGTGTCACCATATTTTAAGTAGCCACAAAACCCAACTGAGGCATACAATACAACCACAACAGTCATGGCAATATTAAGAACACCAGGGCATCCAAGGAAGTGATGTGGATTCAGCATAGAATTTTCAATAGGAAGGACCTGTCACAATTACCATACTTATTGTAAATCTTATTGATCTATATTCATTATAAAAGAAAAATGAAGTTTTTCAATAATTGGTTTCTTGAATTTTTGTTAAATTAAAATGTCATTCCTCTTTAATAATTTTTTTTTATATTAATAACGTCTTTGTTGACATCTTTATATTACAAATCACAAATTTTGAATGAAAATTTTCAAACCAGGGAACAAGGAAAAATCATGAAACAGACCACAGCAAGTGTAATTGTATATGATCTATGATTTTTCTAATTCCACTATCACTTGTTTTTAAGATGAAGTGAGCAATAAAATATCTTAGAAGGGGGAGGTTCTGTGCCATCGAACTTGGGGGGATGGGTACCCCTGCCAACAGACACAACAGAATATTTACTTGCAAACTGTGTTTTAGAATACACAATGGAGATTTTTAAATAGAACAGCCTGAATCTAACATTTATTAAAAAAAACATAACTTCTTTTGAGTTTTGCTCCTTCTTCTATGGATGTGTGATGTATAATTGAAGAAATGATGTATACAGTTCTGGATTTGATTTTAATAAATTAACTCACTTGTATAGAATCTGAAGATGAGTAATATTACAGATTATTAGCAATTGTAATCAAATTTAATCATTTTTAAAAATGTTTATTCGGTAACTTTTTTTCTAAATTTAAGTATAAATAATAAAATTGGATGGTTTAGATATATTTTTAACATATCTGTCCCTCATTGTAAATTTTTTTAGTATCTTAAAAATTAGTTTTTAAAAACATCAAAATTATCATAAAATATGATTCCATAATTTCAACAATTAGCGAATTTATGAATAATTGTATTTACAAATTGATTTGACATATTCATCCCAGTGTCAATCATGTCTGTCTGATGAACATGCTAAATGTAGAAGTATCATATTAAGTAATGTCATAGCACCTACCAATGAATTAAATTTGTATAATTTCATGAACATTATTTTGGCTTAATTCTGTTTCTATTACTCACTTACATGTGCTGTGAGTACAGGATGGTTTTGATAAGCAGAATCCATAGTAATCTGAAACCCTTGGTAATATAAACCAGAAAGATAAAAAAATTTAAAGTCAATAGGAAACAGCTCAAGTGAAGCAGGGCTGGTTCTTTACAATTTTCATTTAAGAAAGATGACAAAGCAGATTTGAATGACAGTAAAGGTTTGCTTCATAATTTCAAAAGCCCGTATGGAATACGTGCTTTATAATAATTTTTATTTTATGCAATAAATAACTTAATACTTGTCAGAAGTGAGCAAATGGATACATTGACTACCAAAGCCTGCTACTTTTGATGAATCTGCAGGATCAGATGTTTTCTATAGCACCAAAATCAGAAGCACAACGTGCACTGTATGACAATTTTAAGAATTTTTGTTTGTTTGTTATTTGTTTGTAGATAAGACTTTTGTTATCTTGTGAATTTATTTTACCATTTTAAATTCAACCTTTGATAATCGGTATTTTGATTTTATTTATGAGTATTTTATTGATTATGAGTATTTTAATTATCCAAACGGGACATACATAGACGTGGTTGGATTATGAAGGCCCTCCTGTACATAGTTATAGTAAAATATTATTTGAATATACTATTTAGCACCTTGTTTTTCCTTAAACATGTATGATCAATGACTAAATATATTACACCAGAAGTAGATAGATTATACTTTATGTGTAAAAAATTATGTATGTTGTTCTGTATCAAAAATTCTAATGTTTTGATTTGTAATTAGACTCATAAACCTCTTTGCTATCACATCTTTTTTATAATTGAAATAATATGTATAATTGGGTAATACTTTTCTTAACTTTATTTCCTATTTATTTTAAAATTCCATAAACCAATTACTTCTAAAATCTGATCAATTTTTAATTCTTGTGGTAGCTGTTACTTATATGAATTCATTTGATGGAATCCTTACAAATATTCCAATTTGTGATTTTTCTGGAAGGAAAAACAAATATTGTCTGTGTCTCTGTGTATAAAATATCCATTGACAATACTGACAAAAAAATTATAATCTATATATTTAGATGACATTGTTTATTGATCTTATGAAGGCACCTTAAAGATTATACTTAAATTTATCTCCTTTTTTTATTCTATATACCTTACTAATTTTCATGAATTTCAAAAATAATACTTACAGTTCCAATTCCTTCCATAGCAAAAAGCACCGTTGAAAAGAATAATGGCCACTTGGCAGGGCTTGCGATATAGTCTCTTGTTTCAATGCTTGGAAGATCGAGAAATGTGTAATAAAGTGTTATAGACAATCCAAACATAATGAAAGCTGTAGCAATTGCCGAAAATGGAACCAAGACCTTAAGAGTCCTTATAATACCAAGAGGTACTAGAGGTACTGCTAGTGCCAATATGTAGAGACGAATATTAAGGTCGAAATGAAAAACATTTTCTATAACCTGAAAAAAATGCATATGATAGAATAAATAATGACCTTACAAAATACGATAAAATATTATTTGAATTTTTTGGCAGATTATAATCTATGGGAGTTTCTATAACAATGTGAGAAGAAACATTTTTGGCAACTAACATAGAGCTTTATTTTTTAAATAACTGCTGCCGATAGTCTATTATGCACCAGATAAATCTTTCTGTTTTATGCTATTCCATTCAAACTTTATATTGGAGTTAGTTTTATTTTTGTAATGATGATGTATGCACTCGAATTTTGAAAACATTTTTTGAGTTTTAATTCGCCACTTGTAGCTATGAAGTAAATATAATAGAACATCTTTGGAATAAATTGGGCCAACTTGTTGAAAAATTAAAATCAGTCCTCCTAATGACTTAGATCAGTGGTCTCCAAACTATGGCTCACGGAATGGATCTGGGCTCACAAGTACTTTCAATCCGGCCCACGGAAGCTGTAATTACATAATAAAATTTAAAAAACTGTTTAAGATATGAAATTTAGCTAACTATTCACAAATAAGGTTACTACAACATTTATTGCATGGTTTATTTTTCTCTTAGAATTAGAAAGCTCTTTTTATAGCTGAAGTGTAATTTATACAAGATTTTTTTTTTTTTTTTATCTAGTCAAGATCTTTATGTGGCCTGCCGGCCAAAAAGTTTGGAGACCTCTAATTTAGATGACCTAAGAACAACTTTAGTGCAAGCATAGTAGTGCATCATGCCAGATTTTGTTAATTTTTAAAATTTTGTTGTTGTTAAGTAATTTAATTATAAATTACAAATAACTGGTTAAATCATTTAGCCTAATCTCCTCATAGTTTTATTGATTCCAACTTTTGAGAAGTGAAATATTTGCTATTAAAAAAAATGTGCTATTAAAGTTAACTTATATTATTAAAAATTAAAAGTCAAAAAGAAAATCATGAAATATTGAGCAATTAAAAAATGAGTAATTATTACAGATGTGAGATTGATAGAAGAAAACTAAAATCATTATTTTTATTAATACTAATAGAATAGAATGTTTAGGTGATACACCCTTCTTGATAATACAATGGTTTATGATATATTTCAAACAAGTAATTGTTTTTCTTATTAACAGAATATAGTTAAGGAATGTTGAGTTTTGATGATATAATATTGAATTAATAGCAAATAAATTAATCATAATAATAACCCAATTAACACATTAATTATATACTACAATATAATTACTGTTAATGTTATTTATGCCAAACAATAGATGAAAGTTTGGCTATTGAGTTTTGATTAAGGTAATTCCTTTTCATAAAATTTTTATTTTATAAATTACCATCCCAAATTGTTACTTAAAAATACTTTTCATTTAAATATTTATTATTTTTTATAATATATATACCTGTTGAAATGATTGTGCCATGAATACAACATAAACTGTGTTCCCGAAATAATAAGTTGCGAACAATGATGCATGAACAAACTCTCTAAAATAGAAAAGTGATTGTTATTGGTGAAAATATAATTTGTTGGAAATATATCAGAAATTTAATATATTCAAACCTTGCAAATGATGCCAAATATTTATATCTTGGAGGCCCTGTTTGGAAAGCAACTTCAGCAGTTTCTGCAAATCCAAGGGATGGTCTTTTGGTCCTTACTGATAATACTTGGGAGCAATAAACCTGTAATATTTATGTAATTAATTTAAATGTATGCTATATTTTTAATTGTAGATTATGGAATCCTATAAACAATATATCATAACATTTATAGGTTTCTTAGCTTTTATTTTTTTTAAAGCTTGATAATCATAAAAAATATAATACAAAAACGTTTCTATGAGCCAAATGACTGACAGGTAGTTTTAAAGGTACATTTAGACATTTCACAAACTAGTGGAAAAACAAATATCTAAATGGTTGTTTCCTTATGATAACTTTTTAAAATTGTATTTGATGTTTTCAGCTGCTGTCGGTAACAAGAGAATAAAAAAAAAAATTGTTTGGCTTAGCGCTAATGTCGCTGTCAGTTAAGTGAGGTACTTGTGTTTCCCATAGGTTGTGAAATGTCTAAGCGCGCCTTAAGACATGACATTGTAAGTAAAACATTACTGTAGTTATATAACTAAATCATATGTATACTTGTGCTACCTATGCTTGCCCCAAAGATAAATGAATCTGCTACTGGTTTTTCTTTTCTTTTTTTTTCCTGTTTTGGCATGAATGCACCGCAACCACAAGGGTGTCTATTGTGCCATATAAGAGCCATGTGTGTAAGAGCCATTTTCTATTAAAACGTTAATTTTGTCACATCTGTATATTTTAGTAGGCTTATAGGGTTAATCAACTCATAGCTCTTGGGGTCACTCACTCGGACCTCATTTAACAGCTCGAATCTGAGCATTGCAAAGCAATCACACTGACACATTGTAAATGACTGCTGCTACTGGTTATTGACAAATGTAGGCTTATAAAGTCGAAATGACTGTTATAGAGATAAAACAGATGACAGATAATAATTTCTATATTTGATGTATTCATATTTTTTAATTTCAAATTTTCTATTTTTTTTTTTTTTTTGCTGATACTTATTTAATAATAAACAGTATTTTTTTTTACTGTAGAATAGATAAATAAAAATGTAATGAAATAACTACAGTACTCTATTCAAAGATAATGGTCTTTCAGTGTCCTAATTATATAAATTATTTATTACTATGAAATAAAGATATTATAATTTGAAACAATAGAATTAAATTAATTTAAAAGAATAAAATGGCATCGTGAACAAGTTAAAACATATAAAAGTTTACATGATGATTTTCGGTGTGAACAGACGAATTAAAGATAACATCAGATCTTTTTTCAAAATAAAAAAAAAATTTAATGTTTACATTTGGTAAGAAAATTTCATTTGAAACATGTGATTTACGTTAAATAATGTTAGTTTTCTGAAATTATTATTTATATTTGTTTTGCCACTCTCCGTTACCTTCTACAACATTATTTATTCTAAAATTCTCTGCTTTCCAACAGTATATTATACGTATACCTTCTGTCTGTTATTTCCGGAGATTTATTTTCAACCTGGATAAGCATTTTTTTTTTTTTATCCAGTTTCCAATTATCATATTCTTTCAAACTTCATATTTAGCCATTTTTTATAGTTACTGTTTCTAGTTAAGACGTATATGAAAATTGGGTATTTAAGCCTTGTAAAGTGACATCAATGGGGATAAGACTTCAATGATATTAAATACCACTTAACTATACAATGATACACCGAGTTTAATCAAAATTATTAGAGCCGTTTTTGAGAAAATTTGTTTCACCGTTGAAATAAAGTGGTACCCATTTTAAGTAAAAAGTTGATATAGTATCTGAGGCATATAAAAACATTAAATATGCAATTTTACTATCTTACGACTTTTTGTTTATGAGCTAGATTGCTAACAGACACACACAAACACACACACACTGACCATTTTGGGGGACTTGGTTATTTGGACTCAGGAGACCTCAAAACATGTATTTCAATTTTCATGATTGCAATACTTACCCTTACTATATATTTCATATATAGGTAAATGAAAGCAATACCCTTACTACATATTTCATATATAAGTTAGTGAAAGTAAAAAGATATAAGAAAAAAAATTATATTTTGTAAAGCGAAATAATGATGTTGACAAAGATAAAAGTATTAAGTTCTTACCAGTAAATGGACACAATGTGTGCATAACAGCCCTGTCAGTATTGAACCAATAACACCAAAGACCAACCCTCCGTTTTTGAAGGCCATTGGCATAGCTAAAATACCTGATCCTAAGCTGCTTTTAAGTAGATGAAGTAAAGCTCCAGAATCACTGAAAATTGTAAACATAGGGAGATTTAATATTTGTGTTTTTATTGCACAGCAATGAAGATTATTAGTGACGAAATTATTCATTGTAAGATGCTAATGTTAAGTATATTTTCCTTTTACAATAGCCATATTTTTTAATTTTATTTATATATTTCGTTCTAAATTATTGTTCTAATAAAACTTTTTATTCTATCAAAAATATATTTGAAGAATTACTCATTCAACTATTCTTTCATGAAAATGTTGAAGCCTTATGATATGATCTATTTGCTTGTTTTTATTACTGTACTACATTGAATATGATATGCCTTTTTAATTCAATTTCTATTAAAAGAAGTGATAACATCTTTTTTTTTCAAATCTATATTAATAATTTATTTATTTCTATTTTGATGAGTCATTTCTGTATAACTGTAATATTAAACTGTGTTGAAATAGTTTCATTGTGAAAAAAAATATTAGTTAGCATGAAGCTAGTACATTTTAAATAGCTGAAAAGTACCATTTTCTATAATAACAGCATAGCTAAAGTATGATCTTGGGACCAAGAAATAATATCTCATGTTCTTTACAGCTTTAGTCAGCTTTCATCACATCAGGTAGATGGTATCTTTAAAAAGTTTTAGTTTTATTTGCGAAAAATAAAAATAAAACTACTATCGATTACCTATTTACCCAAATTTGATCTCTTGTATGAAGTGTTTTTACCGGAATCATACCAAATTGTAAGTTCATATTCATTGATTTAAACAAATTTAGAATAAAATAATTTCTAATATTAATAAGGCAATTTATCTTTAAAAATTTGAATTATAAGACCTTATGGTTCAAGTTTTGTTATTATATCTATCATAAATATATATATATATATATATATATATTACGGACATCCATAACATTTTTAAAGAATCAATGGATGAATAAAATAATCTAAAATCATTAAAATAATTTGATTTTAATTTTAAAAAATACTTACGGTGTTCCAATTGATTTATCCCGATAATCTGAAGGAATATACAACTCAGTATCAGATCTTCCTAATGCTTCATTTAACTTATTTCTTTGGATGACATCATTTTCTGCTAGTTTTAGCCTATGAATACAGAATTATACTTAATAAATGTTGTATCATACTTATAAAAACTACATAAATTAATAAACCTAATGTTTGTTTTACAAAATGTGATAATATATATATCGGAAGAATTTAGGTTTAAATATTTAATTGTATTGTACTTATTATTTTTTTGAAATAGCGAATAAAACTGGCAACATGGACTGCATTTATTTCAAATTAATACAAATAATAAAAAAATAATAACAACGAAAATTCTATTTTACTCATGAAGGAGGCCAGTATTTTCTGTTATATTTTATATATTTTCTGTTATACACAGTAAATAACCCAATCAGTTATTGTTAAAAACCATTTTAACGATAATCATATGTTTTTATTCAAAAGTAATTTACGGTAGCTCAAGAATGATTCGCTATATTGATAACAATATTATTTTTCTTGGTTGAAATAAAATTGTAGAATCATGTAGTTTATAAGTTTAAACATTTTTTGAGTTGTGAGGAAATTAAATCGGAATCAATCTTATCCACGACAAGGTAGAAATGTATTGTCAATGAGCACTTCAATTAATTCCGATTTAAATAAAAAAATATTAAATATATCTGAATGGAAGAAGGAAATATTAAAAATATATAATTTTATATCTTTATCTGAAATAATAATAATTCAAATTTTTTTCCAAAATGTCACTTATCACCTTTATCCACATGATTCTAATGTTTATGGTTATAAGAATACAGTGAAGTAGTGGTCGTGTATATAAAAATTTGTTTTAGGTTTTGAGGTATTTTTAATATGACTGGTTGCATTATTCACCCTCTACTTTATATTATATCTTCAATCAATAGCTGTTGACTTTTTATTACTGCTTTTAGGATGAAGTTTTTTTATTTTTTTTTTTTTTTCAATTCGATTTATGTGAAACTCTTTTAAGGCGAAACATCACTAATGACCACTAGTGGATCCAAGATTTAATTTTGGGGGGCTTCAGCCCGAAAGCTTTTTTTTCATATATATAACGATAATTACATTGGAAAAAAAAGAAAAAAACTAACTACCTTTATGAAATGGTGTTTAAGTGATTCCTAAAGCCCTTTTAAACATAATTAAACGAACATTAATACTCTAAGAGATAATTTTTTAATATTTTTTTTGATAAAGCATGGTTACATTTTCCATTTTGTGGGGGGCTTCAGCCCGAAATCCACCCCCTAACCACCCCCGTAGATCCGCCCGTGCTAATGACAGAAAATAAAATTGTTAATTCCCTTGATACAGTCATTTGCTCCAATGATTTTTTCTCTAGAGTATTGTAACACATTCTATAACATTGAGATATTTATGATATTTCCTGGCTCTTAGGTTTGTGAGTATTCATTTATTAAATCACTGTCCTGATTTAGAACAGTTACCTCATTCATGGTATTTGAGCATGACAGGAGCTTATATTTGGTACAAAACCGATTTCGAGCCTTACTGTTATAATATATATGGGGATGATTTTTGGGAAAATAGAATTGAAGTTTAGTTTTATTGATGATCTCCAGGTATTTTACTTACGTGGATGCAGTGTTTAGATCTCCATTGATGCTGACAGTCGAAGACATGTTGTCAACTGACATTGCCTTGTTATCCATGTTCCTTTAAAAAATAAGAAAAATATTAATAATACATTTCATTTTAATATTATTACCTTATAATATACACATTGAAGTATGCATTTTATGTTTTTGAATACATTGTGAGAGATGTTGAAGTAAAATAAGTTAATAAGATTTTTTTATTCATCTTTTTCTTTTCAAGATTTTCTCTTCAATCATTATTTGTGAATGGTGCTTCAGGGGCTGCAACTTAAGGGTTTTAAAGGGGCCGAAAAATGAATATCATCTTTTTTATTACAAAAAAATTTATTTCATGGTGTACATATATCGGTCAAAATACAAGATTTTGTGAATGTAATTACATTATAGAATTATAATGTTACTTTCAATACCTTTCAGTCCGAAAAAAGTATATATTTGGCATATAGCTGTAGTATGAGTACAATATTGAAACAATTAGAACTGACTTAAGGAGTCAAGTAGGTTAAAATATTTTTCAAGGAAAAACAAAGTTGAGAGCTGTAATTTGCACATCAAAAAACTCATAAATATGAATTTCCATACCAATCGAAAAATAAAAATATTTTTCTCAAAATTTCTGCCTTTAATTTTTTTTTCAAAAATCACTAAAGTGATACCTTCAACATGCCTTCACTTATCTTCATGAAAATTGTCATGAATTTGAGAGCCTGTAATATACCCAAAATAGCACAAACCAGTATCCCATAAATAGATTAGGCTTGGAGATAAAAAATAAAAACGTTCGGGAACTTTTTTTTTATTTATTCCTTATAAAGTTGTAAAATCTAAAAGTTATTGATATGGTTCGGAAGAGCAATAATTGAACTTTCCAAGAGTTGTAGTAACGTTAACTTAAAAGAAAATTCTGAGGGATTATTAACATTTTAGTAAACAGCATGAAAAAAAAATCCTCCTAAAAATTAAGTCTAAAAATTTTTAATTTTTTTATTTTGAAACAAACTCGTATTTAAGAGTTTTAGTGGATGGTAAATGTAAATCTGAATTTTTTTTGTGATAAAATTTACTTGGCTTAGTTTATTGGAAGTGTCTTTGGGTTTTTGTAGGTTATTATGCATTAAAATTTATTTAATACAATTAACAATACATTTCGACCTAGTATCACCCAAAAATGTTTCATTTAAATCGGTGACCCCACGTTCGTAACCTCCTCTTCCCTTTATAAGTTGATTTCTTGAAATTTTATATTTTTAAAATTTACTATTTTTATATTACTGCATGTTGGAATAGATACAGCAAATGTTCTAATAATAAATGTCGTAATTTAAATATTTTTTATTATCCAGTTCCAGTAGAGTTTGATAAGACTTGTAGATTAATTTTTAGAGTATTAATGAGATTCGTGATTTGTTTGATGAGAATCACGTGTCTGAATGGAAATTCTCTCATGTTCAACAAGGTCTCATCACAATTAGTACCTACCTGATAAGCAATTTATCAGCTTTATCTATATATTTTACACATTTGATTAAATTATGGATATCTTGTTTTACAATAATGTTGAGTTTTTATTTACCAGTTGTTTGAAGTCTAAACTAAATTTAAAAAAAAGATATATATATATATATATATATATATATATATATATATATATATATATATATATATATAAATATGTTTTTCTAAATTATAGGGAAGTAAGGTTATTAGTCTACGAATCTATCTGCTTTTGTTTTTAACAATATTTATTTCCCTCTGAAAACATTATTTCAGATCCTTTTAAAAAAGATTCTTAAAAATTTTATTCTGTTGCCTTCTTTCTCTTTCATTATTTCTAAGGTCCTCTTGTTCTCCTAAGCTACTGATGTTATTTTTTAAATGAAAATGGTTATAGAGCATTAAGTCCAGAGCCAAGAAGAACCCAAAATGTATGTAGTGAGAAATGATGTATGTATGATAGGAGTACAGCAGCAATCAAAATAAGCTCTGTGAATTCTCGATTGAACAAGTACTCATTTAAATGACTAAATTTTTTTTTGTTTGATTATTTCTATTAACTGTATAAATTTTTATTTATTTATTTTTTTTTAATATGACTTTTATTCCCAGAACTCTCATGACAAATTCCTTTTTGAGATCAGAGTCAAAATAAAAATATAAAAAGTAAAAAAAAATCATTAGAGTGAATTTTAAAGTAACTTTTTATTTAAATTGATACAAAGTAAGTGAAATGAGGAATCTATGATGAAGTACTTTAAGAATCATTGACACTAAATAGTTTAATTAGCATTTACAAAATGATCAAAGAAGTAAATAGCTTCAATTAATTTTTTTCCTTTTGTTTTTTGTATGTATCCTGTGATTATGAAACTTCACTAAAGAAATTATAGGGATCATTTTTAGAAGTTTAAACTCAATCAGCCAATATTTCAACATTTTAGATATCACCAGGGTTCCATTAATGTCAAACTGATTTTTCTCTCCTTCCATGTGCTGAAGTGTTAAAGAATTTTTTTTTCTGAACATATTCATACAAAGTAACTTTTAAGGCTGAATGATTCATAAAGTTCAGTTAAGCTATTACGTACAAGGGTATATTACAAGAATTTTCTTGTTTTTTTTTTATTTGAGAATTTCAAGTTGATAGAAAAAGTTTTGATTATAATAACATATTTATTTATCAAATTTAAAATTATTTAAATATACCTGTTGGACTACAAGCTTACTTTTTGATCTTAACTTGAACCTCATTCTGGGAGACTTACTTAATTATTTTTCAATTTCAAAAATATTAGTAATTATTTGATGACTAGTAAATAAGTAAAAACTTTGAACTAAAGCAAATAGAATTTATCACAGTCTATTATGTATTCATACAAAATTTATGGAATTCATTTCAATTTATTTTGGACCATAAAACTGTATTACATATTTTTTTTTTTTAATTCAAAGTTTTAAGTTGATAACAATTTATAACTAAAATCGCATACTTATCAAAATTTTTTAAATTGAAAAAATGATTAAGTAAGTATTTTAAGTTTTAATTTGATTAAAGCTTACTCAAGGTGGCCTAAATATCTATAGATAAAACAGTTTTTTTTAGATAATATTAGTGACAAATTTTATACAATTGAAACTTTGAATTAAACAAAAAAAGTGTTACAATCTAATGGATATCGTCGGGAGATCCTCTCAAAATCTGCCCTAGATTATCTTCAATGCGGATTATAATTCTTCTAATTCCACTTAAGAATAAAAGCAGTGGGTGTGTTTGATAGGACCGATACAGTGGTGGAGCTAATACAGGTAGCTGCTTCATATCATAATGACCCACTAATATCCTAGATAACGTTACCAAATTATCAGTTCATATTGTTGACCATCAGCCTTTCCAATAACCTAAAAACAACAAACAGGGGCCGGGATGTAGATAATATATCCTTTTTTTTACACTAAGCCATTCAGGTTGTTAGAAAGTCATACTAGGAAACAAATTAATTATTCTACAGCTTACCTGTATTATATAAATATTACACATTGTTATCCTCAAACAGTTGAAGAGGATAATTTTTCCGTCAGCCATAAAAAAATTATCATTTATAGAGGCTTAAAAGATAACTTTTATGTCCCTATGATGCCAATTATTGTGTAATGTAAAAAATCTTCTGCAGAAATATTGCACGTTTTGTTTGACTATTATGAATTCATCTTGTATTCAAATAATTTTTGAAAATAAAATAAAAAATTTATTTACACTTAAAATTAATTGTTCTTGCCTGCTTTCATAAACATTTATCAGTGTTTTCAAATAAGGGTTTTTCACAAGAGGGTAATTCAAGAGCAGTTGATTTCAGATTCATCATATCAATTTTGAAATAAGTAATTAAATAAATAACAATATTATGACGCATATATTGTATATATTTATTTTTTTAAAGATAACATATCACACAACAAATAAATCGGTTTAAATGAAAATGGTATCACTCCGCTTGTAATAATAATTATGGAGCCAGTGTATTGTATTTTCACTTGATATTATCAAATTGAATCTTTCTGTAGTGTTTTTACGAATGTTTAAAAATAGCAAGACACAAAAAAAATACTGATCATCAGTGAAATATTTATCCCACTGCTAATCATTAATCTTCGAAATAGCCAAAAATAAGCTATAGGCATAGGCGCCGGAACTTAAAAAATATCCTGGGCTATGTTCAGTGTAACATGATAACATGATAACATGATTCAATGCATGCGAATGCGGAGTCGGAATAGAACGCCATACATAGGAGTAGCTCTGTAATCAATCTATTACGTTTTTTTTTTTCTGGTCTTCATTGCCTTCTAGGCTATACGGGGTTTTACCGAGCCAGGGGATGAGGGCGGGGGTTAATGGTAGAGTTAAAAAACTCTCGGGCACCGGGACGCGAACACGTAACTATTTTTTTCCTATTATAACTTAGGTTATCAAGTTATTGGGAAACGCTCAGTGCTGTGCACACGCGTTAGCCCACTCGGCCACTTCGCCCCAGATCAATTTATTATCTGTCATATAATTATGACCCATTCGGTTTTGTTGAACTTTTTGTAAGTTATTTTAAGTAAATAGGAAATATTAGAGGAGTGGTAGTAGTGTTGTTTTTTTACATAGGTATGCCTGCGTCTAAAATTTTTATTCTATTTTTTTAAAGAACATTTCATTTTATTTTTATTATTATTATTTTTATTTTTCATTACGATATTTTATTTTGTTTTTATTTCCATGTATGTTATATTGCTATTTATTTATTTATGATTCTGTAAATATGGCGTGAATTTGCTCTCTGAACTCTATTATAAGTCTTGTTAATTATAAGACATATTGTAATATTTTTCAATAAAAAAGTAAAAAAAAGAGTATATATATATTGGTGATAAAATAGTCCCTCAATTCTGTTAAAATTTTACTATTTTCTACTCATTTCATTCAGCCTGCACTTACCAAATGTATATCAGTAATCAGTAAAGCTAATAAGATCAGATTAATATTTTAATCTCGAATAAAAAAATAATTGGTAAATA